CCCCACACACACACACAAAGAGAGAAAGAAAATGGGGATCTGAGACTGAAAATAAAGTGAACAGGCAAACTTAACGAGATGCACGTAGAAAGCCTAGATTTAGTAGCCTATTATGACATAATGTGAGCGTTCAGTTGCCGTGAACGGCAAGATATAATAGCCGAAGGGCTGCTGACTTCTTTAACTTTAGAGTTCTTTACTTTCTATCTGTTAATTCTGTTGTTTCTGTCTGTCCATCCGATTTTTTTTCTGTTCTCCAGGCTAATCTTCAAACCCGACCGTTATGGCTTCCTAAATATGGCAATAAATAAATACATGTAAATAAATAAATAAATGAAATAGGAGCTCAAGTAAATATGGATAAACACTTTATTCAGATTTTAACTGCTCATGGGTCTTGAGCGAAGAGAGTGGACAGGAAGAGGGAGGAAAGAAAAGCAAAACAACACATGTGGAAAGAACATTAGAACAACGGGGAAAGATATGTGACACGCAGTAGAAACATCATGGTAAGGCCTAGTAAGGTTGCTAAAAAGGAAAGACATCATCATCACTGACCCGTTTGAGCGCCCCCCCGATACACGAAAAGAAGGCTTGTTATCGTCATTAAAATACAGTATTAATATTATCAACCCTCAAACTCGGAGACTGCATGTTTTTTGTTTGTTTTTATTTTGGAAAAGTGGGGGTGGGGTGGGGGGGGGGGGCGCCTACAATTAATGGATACAATAAACTACACAGCAAAGCTACGATGCAAAAAGTTGTTTGTCTGTGTATTTTAACTGTAGGCCTACGACGTGCCTTGCGTAGCATGCACGAATATTGTATGTGTGTTTCCTTGCGAATAAAAGTGGTTTAACTCCACAGAGTGGTTGCCTCTAGATTCTAGATATCTAGATTCTAATATTATAAGAAAAACGGGAGTTTCTGTTTTCAGAAATCAGAAAACAATTGAAGTACGAATAAAAATGGGGTTCTAACTAGGAGACAGTCCTTCAAAATATGCGTATGTATTGGACTAATTGACGCAACAGAGATTAGGCTATTATTATTTTTTAAAACCATGATAACGATAAAAGTATATTTTGACCAAAAGTGGCGATACACCACTCACTTTTTGTCAAAGACACAACCAGGCCAAGAACGACAACTCTACTGAAACGGCGGACATTAGGAAGGAAGTTGTTCGTTATGAATTCGTCAATGGTCGCTAAATCACAGCATCATAGATCTAGGCAGTGACAGTGCCAACAACCCTTCGTCGTCGGCTGCTATTTATTTAGATTCTATGTTAGATTAGTAGAGTTTAGAGATGATAATGACAATGATAGTATTGATAGCATCATTCATCATGATGACGAAGATGTGATGTTAGGACAGCCTTCTGCCAAGATCAACTTTGCATGACACGAGAAGCGAAGTGTAGCAGCTCAGGCTGAGCTTTGTGTTGTAATAATTGTATCGTCGTCGGCTTCTGTGACAGAAATAAATAATACGTAAATAAGAAGGTAAAGGCAAGGTGGTATCTTTAGCAGCAGCAGTGGTTCGCCAGCACACTGCCTCAACGCTCCAACTTCAAAGGGAAAAGGTAACTCAAACTGTATCATGTGTCACAATGTGTGGTGTTTTTGTGTGTATTGTATTGTACAGTGGAATCCTGGGCGATTTTGTAGTTTCGTTCGTTAAAGTCAAGAGATGGGGGGTTTGAGGGGGGCTTGCCCCCCTGACCTAATAAAAATATGGAGGTTGGGGGGGGCCCCCCTGAATGTTTTCCTAATGTGATGTTTTAAAGTTAGGTTGCATCCCTGCTCTTTGTGCAGCCTATTTCAAAGAGTATTTGGTCATCAAGACTTCTGGATTGCTTCTCTGGATGTAAACAAATGGGTCGTGGACTTAAACGAACGGAGCTACAAGATCACCGAATCCTGTTATAATAACGAGAGGGAGGGGACCAGTGCGAAATGTCTGTTATACCAGGATTCTCGTTGTAAGGGATCCAGTGATAAAATCTAGGCACATATTAAAATGAAGGAAGAGGCTAGCCGTACTTAATGACGGCTAGACTGGCAGTCTAGCCGTACTTATTCTTAATATGATGGCTAGACTGACCATTTAACAAAAAATAGGCCTACTGAATTGTAAATATACTTTTTTAGTATTTTAGTGTGCAGTACCTACTAAAGTATTTGTATTTGAGACGAAACCAGGTGCCTAAATGACAGTGCATGTTAATGTATTTTTAAACCTCCTGTTTTCTAATGTTAATAGGGCCTAAGATAAGTACGGCTTGACTGGCAGTCTAGCCGTACTTAAGTACGGGTAGACAGCCAGGCTAGCCGTACTTAAGGACGGCTAGACTGTCAGGCTAGCCGTACTTAATATTGATGGCTAAATTGTAAATGAAATTTTTAGTTTGCAATGCCTAAAGTATTTGTATTTCAGACAAAACAAAAAGGTGCCTTACTGACTTGCATGTATTTGAACCTGAATAATTACTAGATCTAGATCTAATGAGACCTGTGTACTTAACAGGCTTGAGTCGATAGGGCCAAACCTAGATCTAAAAGTACGGCTAGACTTGCAGTCTAGCCGTACTTAATTAAAAAGTACGGCTAGACTCTCAGTCTAGCCGTACTTAAGTACGGCTAGCCACTTCGTAAAATGAAGTAGATCTAGGCCTAATCTGGGAGTTTGGTGATGTTTTATATCTTTTTGTTTTATCTCCTCTGATTATGATTTTGTTCAACATGACCTTAAGTTTATATTGATCAAACATCGAATTAGGTTTCTTTCTCTAGTGCTAGCTCGATGTTGACAGCTCGGTGTTGGCGATCAGAAGGAAAGGGCTCCAGGCTAACTCGCCCGCTGTGTTGTTCCCAACCCCACCACACCCTATGGTGTGTTCCGTCTGCTTGCGCACATTGGGTACTCACCACACCCTGCCTAAGCCACACATTCGCTCCTTCCATCATTGGAGAAATGGGAGGCATGATAGGCCTAGAAGAATGGGCTGGCCTATCACATGCGTTCTGCTTGTCTGCACATGCCACACCTTCCCCACTCATTCGCTCCCGCCTTCATTGTTGACACACGCAGGCTCTCCCATTCTTTGTTTCTCTAGGTCACCAACAAGTTTCCAACTGACGAGGTTTTACATACATATATTAAAATTGGTCTATGCACTGGGCACAGCAGCAGCAATATAACCGCTTTAACCGACTCGCGTGTTTGTCTGATTGCGCTACAGCAGTATTTTATTTACAAAGATAAAGATGGGGAAAAAAACGGGGTTTAAGAAAAGTGTCTTTATAACAGACTTCTCGTTATTTTAGGACTCGTTATAAGTTGACTCCACTGTAATCTATGTCTGTGCGAGTGTGTGTACTCCAGTCCCTGCTAAAAAAGTCATAATTTTTTTAAATTAGTAGGCGCCTATTAGTCTAGATCAGTGAAGTAACAATGTAGTGACAGTGTACTGTACGGTGCCCTGAGCGCGACCAGTTAATTCCCCATTTTCCTTTTGTGCAGCTCGTGTGCAATCTGTTTTATTAGAGTTGCGTCCCCTACAGGGTTGGGTTGATTTAAATCAGGTTGATTTAGGTTGATTTAAATTAGTTGATTTTTAAAATTTAAATCAACTTGATTTTAAAAATAAAAATCAGTGATTTAAATCACTTTTTAAAAAAAAATTTTTATTCGGTTTTTACACATTTCAACATTCAGAATTCCTTTCCTTGGTTTCATAAAACAGATATAAGGTTCAGTAGACTAATATAATCATGCTTAAAAGTCTGATTTC